TGTGTGTGTGTATGTGTGTATGTACACACAGTTGGTATTCCAGGTACCAAAGCTCATAAAGGGGGTGGTTGGTTAAAGGGGTTGTTCAGTGGAAAGTCTCTTGAGGGTCCAATCTCTCCCCCTCTGTCCCACTCACTTTACCACCTCTCTAGCTCCATACCAACGCTTTAGAGTGAGATGAGTTCAGCTGCACATGTTCGTAGTTCTCTCCGTTTCCCTAAAATCAAAAACAAACAGTCATTTTGCAAAAGCTTAAAAGTTGAAAATTTTTATCACCACCAGCATATATTCTGAGACTCCCACCTTGGATGCTATGGCTTTGAGTTTGCCAAGTAGAGAAGGTTTTGTGTACACAACTTCATCCTCCATGTCTCCCTCGTTCTCTCCCTCCATTACTGCACAGCTGTCAGCTCCTGGCATCTCACACTCCTTATTGGCAGACATCACCAAGCGGGAGTACTTGTACTCCAACCTAGCAAAGAGACAAGTGATAGAATCAATAGTGTAGGGGAAAAAAACAGGAGAGATGATGTTGTCACACATGAATATTGACAAAAACTGATGTGACAAGGAAGGAATGGCAGGATGGATCAAACAACAGACAGATAAAGTAGGAATGGAATAAAGCTAAAGGGAAAGGAATGAAAGCGAAAGAAAAATTAAGGAAATTAGAAGGTAGGTAGGTAGGCATGAAGTAAGAAAAGAGGGGGAGTGATAGGGAGTAGGAAGGAAGGAAGAAAAGTGGGAAAGGAAGGCAACAGGGATAGAAGAAAAGAGATAAGGAGGGATGGAGTTAAGAAAAAATACATGAAGGAAGCAGAGGAGTAGGAAAAGAAAAAGAAAGAAGATAGAGAGGGGAAAAAAGCATGCAGGAAGAAAAAAGGGAAATTATACCTTTTGTTCTTCTTCCAGAAGTAGCAGGTGAGGGAGACGAGCAGCACTGCAGTGAAAGCTCCCATCCCCGCACCGAGCCGTACCCAGAACTCCATACCCTCACATGGCAACGTTTTCTTTTCGGGTAAGGCCACACCTCCTATACACAGCTTCGGCTCGGTCCACACATACAGCAGGTCCTGAGGATGAACACACACAAATATACTATAGCATTAAATAAGAATGTGATAGAGCCAAAACTAATTCTCCACGCACACAGTTTAGTCAGTGGAGGGTTTTATTTGCTTTACTCCAGCACACTGAATTTCAACTAAAACAAAGACTGTTAAAGTGCTGAATTTCAGCTTTGAGGGTGTTTGCATCCATATTGGGTGAATGGGTGTTGGAACCGCAATCCTTTTTAACGCTTGGAGGATATAACTTCTACACAGTGAATGGGATGTGGGCCTAAACACCCTCAGATTAAAGCTGGAAGTCAGCACATTGTTTCATTTCAAATCCAAAAGTGCTTTACTCAAGAACCAAAACAAATATGTGCCAGTACTCCTCACACGCACCTGATGTCCTCCCTTGCACGCTCCCTCTATCTGATGGTAGTCACTCTCTGTGCATGTAGGACAAGCTCCGGAACTCTCCCATAAGAAATTAA